CATTTACATCAATTAACATGGAGGGAAAAACTACTTCAACTTAGTCATAATTTCAAATCAATTAAAAATTTGATACAAAATAGTTAATATGTATATCATGATACAAAAGAATAATTGCTATTTTTACTATACTCAGTCTTAATCATTGTTTCAGATAAGAAGCCCTGCATTGGCTGTAATGTTTGTTTAGGTATAGTTCACATATGAAAACTCAGAAGTTCAAAATGGGCGTGTCCTCCACGTACCAATGTTGCTGAGTGAATTTTCATATACAGAGACTAGATGAGGTTATTGATGGTGTGCTGCGGAAGCCTATCCCATTTTTCAACGATTGCCTCTGTCGGCTGCTGAAGATTCTCAGAAACTTGTGATCGACGACAAATACGCCTTTCAATCTCATCCCAAACATGCTCTGTGGGCCATAGATCTGGACTGTAAGGTCTCCATTTTTTGCATACTGTATCGCAATGGCGATTGTCGTTGCAACCGATCGAGTCCCTCCCTCCGTCTTCTGTCAATAGTTGGCAGTGGGTAGTTGAAAAAATTTGCAATTTACTTTGGACACCACCGAATGTGTTCGAATAAAATACATTTTTCGTGAAAAGTATGAACAAAGAAATCAATAGCTGGGAAGTTATGGATTATTGATTTTGTGACTAGTTTAAGTATGAAAAACCTTGTTGACACACTGGTCTAAAAATTAGTTAGTTACCTTGCATAATAACAATTCTACTCTAAAAACTGACTTGGTTGTTTCTTTCCCCTTCAGTATATTTATTGGTAATACTCATTATGTTTTAATATCCCGATATCTCCTGCAAATGGTAGATAGATCTCCAAACTTATTCAATACTCAAGAACATGCTCCGAGTACGTTCAATTTATAAACCGAGACAGGCTACTGACAAGTTGATGTTACAGAAATCAACAGCCTCGTTTAAAGTCATTTCGCAAATTCTTTGCTCCTTATAATGACCTCGTAAGCAAATATAACCTATCACATAACTGGCGCTAGATATAGAAGCAGATTACGTTTTTCAAGGTATTTTTTGTCTGTAAGAAAAAATATTTATAATCATGAAGATGGCTTGTGTTAACGTTGAATGTTTAAAATACTGTAAAATCAAATATTTTCGTGGGGTCAAATAGTGGTTCGTGGGAATTTGATTTCTTGGCTGAAGAAGTGATGAATAATTATGCACATAATATTTGGAAATTTCGAGGGAGACATGAATTCGTTAATCTTTTCACACCTCGAAAACAACGAAAATAAACCCCAATGAAAATGAGTGATTTCACAGTATTTCCTTTGATTACGCGTGTTTGAGTTAGTTTGTTGTGTTCATTTACTAACAGTCCTAAGTAAAGGTTAGTTTATATTTTCAACAGGCTAGTATGTTCTTACGTAGAGCATGCTGAACTGTTCTGTATTCACATGAAGCAGAAGCTTGAATATTTATAAATATGGCAAAATAAAACAGTGGCAGATCCAAATTTGGTACTATCATTATCACCTGCTTATGGGATTTATGTTTTCCAGTTGAATCGATACGCAAGAGCATGTTCTACGTAAGAATAATTTGATAAAATGATGCAGGCTACTGACAAATTAGTTGATTAAACAAAGATATCAACAATCTTGTTTAAATTCATTATTTCGCAAATTCTGTGGTCGAATGCAATAACCTTGTTTACAAATACAATATATCGTCAGGTCGAGTGGTGCTGAGGTCTTCAATACAAACTGCAATGTCATTATTTTCATACTGAATTGACTATGGATTTTCCGTTTACCTAATCTGGACAAAGGGCATATGATGGGTGTGACTGTTCGACAGGGGATGCTCTCACCTCCATGCCACCTGATACCAACTCTGTTTTCAGATGTCTGCGTTTGTTCTGCTCACAATTTGTACTGTTAAAATGGAGAGTTGAGAATGATTATTGATTGTCATCGTCTTAGTTCTTTTTTCATATTCCTTCGTATTTTAACAGTCTTTAAATCTTTATTTCATTATCTCTTTTTTCTTTACTTCATTGTATAAATTCTCACAAAGGCATTTTTCTTTGTTCATCTATATCAATATTCTGAACCCTCTTTTAAAATTTTGGTGTCTCTTTCACACCCACCATATTAACTCCTATGTATTTCTGTTTAGGACATAAAGGAGGAATTCCTGAAATTTGCAGCAAATTTCACAGCATCCATGGACGTTTGAGAAACTAATTTCTTTCCAAAGTCTAATGTGCGAAACAAGTAAATTAGAGAAGATGTACTTCATAGGTTTGTCTTCTTGAAAACCTTTTGTCAAACATTCAGTTAACAGCATATCTTCCTAATTTAGATGCACAACAAATACTGAATTAGATTTTCTAGGAAGAATGAAAGAAGAGGAAATTACGCACAGCGATCGATCTGAAAAAAAAAATCCACAAACAATACAAATCTTTAAAAAGTGCATAATACACGGACCCCCGGAAATTCTAGATTAGGGATCAGGTGCCTAGGAGGATTAAGCATCTCCTGTCAACCGGTCACACCCGCCGTGAGCCCTATGTGCTGATCAGGTAGACGGAGTATGGAGGCCATCTCTTAAAGATACTACAGTATTTATTTATGACAAAGAGTTGTCATTTAATGAACTGATAAAAGAAAAAAAAAGAATAATTTAAAGAAACAACATATGAAAAACAGCACCCAGAAAATGACAACCAGCAATTTAACATTAATTACAAGTGAAATTTATAAACTGTAAATAATGACAGCATTAAATACATACGTCCAACAGATAAATGATAGTTTTCAAGCTTTAGCTGATGAAATGTAAAATGTGAAGATAACAAACAGCGATCAATCTCATAAAGTCAGTTAATAAATCGAATCGTGAACAAAGCAAAAACATGGACCCCCAGAAACACCAGAGATAGGATCAGGTGCGTAGGAGGAGTAAGCATTCCCTGTCGACCGTTCACGTCCGCCGTGAGTCCTATGTATTGATCAGGTATAGGCAGTCAAAGGCTAGTATACCAATTTTCAATAGCAAATGTATTAACCGGCATACCGAAATCTTTTGTGAAACACCTGAACAAGGATATAAAGACGTGATATTGCTATTTCAATGTATTCAGACGGTAGTGATATGATGTACAGTAACTTACATAAACTGATATATCAAATTTAATTTGAATACAATTTAGTCAAACAGAACATGTTGCACTCAGTCGTGTGTATGTGTTGATTAATTTCAACATGATAACAAACATCTTGTAACATATGTTTATAAAGTATGAAAAACCTCATATGATATATGACTGTCTAGTTTGAAATCCTTGTAAAGAGTGTTTTGATGTACTGAATCTTTATATGAAATATATGGAGATAACGAACAGTATTCAAGCTCAAAAGTCCATTCAAACAAACCGTTCACGGTAGCTCAGTCGGTAGAACGCTCGCTCTGTGATAGGGAGGTCGTGAGTTCGAATTTCGTCCGTGACTGAACTAAATCGATAAAAAAAAAGGTAGCAACTGTTCTTTCGCCATGCGCTCGGCACTTTGAAGTGAAAGTTGCGGGTCCTTCGGATGAGACCTTAAAAACCGAGGCCCAGTGTCACGGCAGGTGTTGGCACGATAAAGATCCCTCACTGCTCAATGGCCCTGAATGCCGAGTAAAGGTCTAAATTTGAAGCCCTTCACCGGTATATGGTGACGTCTCTATATGAGTGAAAAATTCTCGAATGGGACGTTAAACAACAATCAATCAATCAATCAATTCAGACAATATAAATCAGGAGCAGAGCAAACACGGGCCTTTAAAACATCAGAGGTGGGGTCAGGTGCCATGGAGGAGTGAACATCCCCTGCCGACCGGTCACACCCACCGTGTGCTCCTTGTCATGATCGGGAAAAAAAACGAGAAAAAAAATCAGTGGGATAAGTATGGTCTAACAATTAGTATGAAAAGCGCCAGTCAGCATTTGATTAATGATAGGTTGTAATTGCTGACAGGTCATTGTATTTACCTTAAAATTACGAAATGATGCCTCACCTAATTTCACTATTGAATCATCTTTGGCAAAAACTACTTTGAACATTTAGATCAATCATTTACATGTAAGAGGATTCAGAATGAAGGCCTAACATATTTAATATTTTCAAAATATCCAATAAAATCACATATCCAAATTTATTTTTTTTTCTATAAAGGAAGTCAAATACGTTGGTCAATGGAAATATAGTTTCACAAGACAGAGAAGGTTGACAAAGTATTTCTAAAATAAATTCTCACACACAACCGGAAGTTTCTGAACGAATTTGAACATCTCAGGACCATTGTAAACTCTGATGCAATCAACACACGTAGAAGAGGAAACCAACAATGACAGAAATAAACATGAATCATATAACTCTCCCAAATTGGCTATTAGATTACCACCTGTTTTAGGATTTTCTAATTTTGACTTTCCATGAGAACTGCATATAATGTAAAAGGTGAATATAACAAACAGTGTAAAGACAACTTACCAAAAAACTTGAGTTACTCAAAAAGCCAAAATTCACTGAAATCATAGACATATATCTTTTATCAGGTCAAAACTACACAGTACTGGTGAAGTTTGGTCCGGAAGAACATAGACAGACATTGAAAATCTTGGACAGGTTCAATTATTTGCAGCAAAAATAGTTACTGGGCTAACAATTATTGCTAAGAGAACTTCAATGTACTTTGAAACAGGTTGGGAACCTTTGGAACACTGAAAAAATAGAGCTAACCTAATAACAATACATAAAACACAATAATTTAGTACCTACTCACATACAAAATATCATAATATTAACATTGATAAATCTTGAATATTTCATTATGTTAAGAAGAAGTTGCAGTATTCTCATCAGGACCTACTGGTCTCTCGTTGTTTCCTGAAATTATTACAAAGAAAAATAACCTCTTAACTTGCTAAATGTTTTCTATCAGATTTCTAATTCTTTGTCAGTTGACTTATCAAATTGACTCATGCTGGATTGTTCTCATTATATCCTGTATTCTCATCAGTGTAGCCGTCTGTATTTGATGGAGTGAATTTTTGTATATATGTCTAATAGACTGTTGGTATGAAAATAGAGCAGATTTTATGTTCCCTGTTATCTGTTGACAAATCCCAAGGATCTGCCATGATATGTCTTTGAGTCCTTCAGGTACAAACACCCCCTGGTGAGAGTGGACTAGAGCCTGTAGATCAAGTAAGGCTCTTTGTGCTCGTATTGTATCAGTATGGATGGAGCACAAGATTTCTAGCATGTATAACAGAACAAATGTTGGAATATTCAGGGTATCCCCCTCCTCTAATACAGACTGTTCTGGTGTTAATTCCTTTATGTAACAGATTTTCGGGTAAAGATGGATGTCGTCTGCTCTAGCCTGACGAAGTTTTGCAGACAAAGATTGTCCGCCTACAGCCTCACTATATCTTTCTGGGTCGACGCGATTGTGATATGTTACATGTGCGTTTGCTAATTTGTCTTTTGTTATCTCTATAATAGATAGGGATTTCGTGTATCTATATGTCTGGTAATAATACATGGCAATGTACAACATGTCAGAAATACAACCAAACTTGGCTGCTAATCTCAGCATGTAACAGATCATTTTGTCTGCCGTATACATCAGTTTGTTGGCACGTGTGTGAGTACATTTGTTGAAGAATAAAAATGCAGTTGTTTGAAGAGAGGAGGTTGTAGGTCTCTGTAATAAGATAACTTGATACTTTGTCAGGGGTGAACTCATCAAATTTTCTATTGTGTGTACATTCTTAATGAAATAGGGTAAGTCAGACAAGACCAAAACATCACTTGTATATGTCTCGTTGAAAAGTTCTACATCAAGTTCAGCCTCTGTGATTAAATTGTATTCATGTGTGCAGATAGACTGTCTAGGATTATACAGGACATTTATAACGTAGAGCCTGATGGAGGGACTGTGAAGCAGGCATACTAATCCTTTCTCATATAATCCATAAAGTCTGCAGAATAAAAGCTTTTGTGCTTCACCATGGATATTATTTAAAAATATATTGTTTTCTGGAATGAAAAAATTAGGACAGATCCCCTCGTACACCCATTTAAGGAGAAGTTTAAAGCAGACCCAGAAACCCTCCAGAAGAGTTTGTGGATTCCACTCAAGTATTGTATTCTGTTGAATTGCCCAGAAAACTGCCGTCTTCATATGATAAGAACACAGTACTTTATTCTGGGCATCATATCCACCGTTAATGGTTTCTTTGAGGAATATTTTAAGCAAACCATAAGTTAGGAATTGACAGTGGTTCATGGAGTACACAAGTTTTTGTTCTGCCTGAGAAAAAGAAATTCTCCATTCATGATCTTCATGATTTCCTAATTTGTGTCCTATAGGAACAAAATGACATCCATTTCTGACAATATCATGAACAACTTGAGGCTGGGGCCAGGAGTGACATCTGTCTACCCATGAGGAGGCAGAGGGAGGCCACAGTTTACAGCGATAACAGACAGCGTAATCATATTCTGTTTTTCCTAGGTAGCCACTTCCGCAGGGTCCATGCTGAGTCCAATTTGGAGGGAGTGGTGAACACGCATATCGTCTGACTTTAGAACTAGAGATATAAAGTTTGTCTTTTATTCTGATGTATATTGGCTTGAAATCTATTCCGTCTGTTATCATGAACTCAAGTAAAGTGAATCCAGGAGGACTTTCAGAACAGTCACACAGGATGAAATCTTTTCTGTTTGTATTGCAAGTCTGAGCTTGGTCTAAATCCCAGACTACTTGAAAGTTTTTCAAAGAAAACATCACGTCCACATCAGATCCCTGCAGTCTGAATCCATCTCTGTAACTTCCACTCCACATCATACTGCACCCATCAACTGTTGTGACGTGATTACTCAAAACTTCTTTGATGTCCTGTACTTCTCTCCTGATGGTGACCTGTGTAGGAGTCCCCACTTTACGACACAATCCAGCAAACACAGACTCTGACAAACGCTGTATACCTGACTCACTGAAAGAAATGCATCAGAAGGTTAATAAATCTAACTTATACCATTAATTTATTAAAGGTAACTTCAATCAATTCTAAAGTAAAATTTAATTTGTGTTTCAACAAATGAAATTAGTGTACATCATATAATTTAGACTACATGTATTTTAATAGCCTTTGTTTGACGTTTAATCAGTTTTATAGTTATTGGATATATCTTATAATATAATCATTTTATTTTCAAAATTTATTATTTTTTTCATATTATTTTTACATTTTGATTGTGTTTGTAAGAAGTTGTAAAGATTTTACTTACACTTGTAATAAAGAGTGGGAAGCCATTTTTTAGAAGATGTCTTAAATCTTTCCTTGTTTTATAATTAACTGTGGGAATTACATAATTTTAATCTCTGCTTAACATATTTTATGGCTAAGGAAATTTATTCTTAGATTCCCATTCCTATTATGAATATTGTCAAAGTTTATGCAAGAAGATAGGTCAAAAATGAAAGAGAAAATAGACACTTTCTCAGAATGAATAAAAAAATATAAGATATATGGATATTGAAATTTCTTATTAAATGCTTGCGTAGCAAAATGCGTAACATCTATCTTTCTGCCTTCGGTAATTCAGAGGTTACGAAGAAATTAGAAAGATTGCATGATCAGAATATACTTGTTCCAGCTGACAAAATATGCAACAACATAGTCTTCGTAAGGCTCAAATGTATTTTAAGGACTTTGATTTTAATTCTACCGGAGGTAATCGAACATATACTTGTTGTTCTCTTTCGAAAGAAGATATTCTTCAAAATCATATATCAGTTTTAAATATTTTCAATTACTGTATATGTAATGGATTCCAAAACTTCATAAAAATCCTTACGAAGGTACATAACGGGTTCCAGGAAATGTTCTACCAAGCATTTTTCTTTACGCTTCACGAAAATTTTAACAGCAGTGAAGGGGAAACGGAAACAACATATTCCAGGAAGAGCGCTTGCTCCGAAGGTTGTGTGTTCGAATCATGGCCGCGACTGACCTAGGTCGATAAAAAACAGATAGCAACTGTTCCTTCGCCAAGCACTCGGCACTTTGGAGTGAAAGTTGTGGGTCCTTCGGATGAGACCTTAAAAACCCCGTGTCACAGTAGGCGTTGGCATGATAAAGATCCCTCACTGCTCAATAGCCCTAAGTGAAAGACTAGATAAGAAAAATATGGTGACAAATGAAACTCTCTTCGAATCGTGCTCAGTTTTAAATGCAATTAGCTAATAAACACGAATTTTGAAGTAGAGAATACAGCTGTTTATTTATTTTTTTTCTATAAACAAAAGACATCTTGTACTGTATAATGACATACTGGCTATACAAATATAATGATACTTATCGGTAAAAACAGCACCCAAACTTATTGCTTGTAAGGCTAATAAACTATTAGTAAATTTACTTTCATTTCTAATCATTGCAAAATACTTTCATTTAGACCATTTTACATTTCCTTTTGGTCCAATAAATCTGCCGGTTACATAAAATTTCTATACATGCAGAGACTAGGGAGTCAATGATATATTAAGACACAACCATTAATTAAGTAGAAAAATCACCTGAACTAATGCTGTATCTTTAAATAACAATAAAATTAGAACAATGTATGATAAGAATGTAGGGAGTCAACGTCCCTCAGGAGCTGTGTTTTAACTTAAATAAAATAATTCTCAACATTAAACTATAATAATGCTATAGAAGCCTCTCATTAATCAGTACACATATCCTTGTCCAATACCAAAAGAATTTCAAGGAGATACATGTCAAGGCTTTAATCTACCAGAATATATTCCAGAGATGTAACATCTACATCCATGATTAGTGTCAAATACATTCATGTTCTTTAAAATCAAATACTTTTACTGACTGTGAATAGAGAGAGACACATAAGAAGTGTATATATATATATATATATATATATATATATATATATATATATATATATATATATATATATATATATATATATATATATATATATATATATATATATATATATATATATATATATATATATATATATATAAAAGTTTTTTTAGTGAAATGAATGAACAATAAATAACAAATATAATTTGTGTCAATTCAAGAATGCTGGACATATATATATTTTTCATGTAAAATTTTGTAAATGTTTAAGGCTTACACATTATTCTTTCATAAAACATGGCACTTTTTCTACCCAATTTAATCAAACAAACAAATCAGTGGCACAGAGTAAGAAAAAACTCTAATAACATCTATATGCTTGTAATTAAAAAAAAAAGAAAAAAAGCAAACGGCACTTTTTTACAATAGCAGTAGTAAAATTATTCCTAGTTAAATTTATCTACCCTACAGTTAAGCAGCAGCTATTGATCTTTGTAACTTTCAAAGTTCTCTGATGTTGGGAATGACATTCCATCACCAGGAAGTGGAGACAGGATCCATGGAAACAACCAGCATATGTACCACTTACTGCCAAAAATGTGTTTAATGTTCTCTCTCCAGCCTAGGTTGTACATGTATATATCGTGTCGTCTTTCATGCGTAGTCATATTGTAAATAATATGCTTGGAATGCCAGACAATTAGAAAAGTTATGATGAACCAAAATAAGGTGGCCACCAGAGTTAGCAAGCATATAATAGCTGTATAAAAATCCAACATTCCAAAGAGTAGTAAAAACAAGGGAAAACAAAAACACATAAGGTTATAAAATGAAAATTCTCCCAGCATGGTCCATGTGAATCCCATACAGTATGTGGAGGCAAACATAGCCCCCAACCAGGTGTAGCAGATCAGGCAGATGTAATGGCGATGATTGAAGTAGCCAATACATTTCCCGGTGAACATGCAGTGGTGGTCTCTCTTCAGGATGCAGCGGTTACAGGTGGGGCAGTGGTAGGAGCGTGGAGGTCCATTGGCTTCACACACCACACAGTAGTGCCAACCTTAATAAATAAAAAATAAAACCTAGACGCCTAGTCCTCTTTCTGCACTTGGCAACATGGTAGCTACAGCATAGCAAGAACTTGAAATATCTATCAGTTAGGGACATAATGAAAACAGGTTATTTGAAAAATAACTTACATAAGTTATTTTACACACACAAAATATTTTTTTTAATAATAACTTATGTACTTTTCTATCCTATTGGTCAATGGCTTTGTCAGAAATTTTTGGGGTTTGTATTCCCTGCTAATATTATTGCATTTTGGGATTCCACAATATAATACAAGACGCAGTGCACAGACTCCCATGGAGGATTGGTGAGGAGGTGAAGATAAACAGCAATTTACTTTTTATTTTGAGGTGTTCTTTACATTGTTTTTATCATCAAATAAACATCCCCACTTTTCCCAAGACTTTGAACACTTTTTCTGGATTAAGCAAGCTTAAATTTAACCAAACTTGTTTTTGCCTTGGTGCACGAGCAACAACCTTTGGTGCACAGAGTCTGAAGTTAGGGAGAACTGATACAAAACAAGAGACCCATGGGCCACATCGCTCACCTGAGTAACTTTGGCCATGCTGTTCATTACCAGACTTCCCCCCTTGTAATACCTATTTTGGCCCCGCCCTACCCCCAGGGGCCATGATTTGAACAATTTAGAATCTACACTACCCCAGGATGCTTCCACATAAGTTTCAGTTTTTCTGGTCCAGTGGTACTTGAAAAGATTTTTAAAGATTTTTCCTGTATATTTCAAAGTAAAACTTGGGAATCCCTATTGTGCCCCCCCCCCCCATCCCCGGGGTCATGATTTGAACATTTTAGAGTGTACACTACTTGAGGATGCTTCCACATAAGTTTCAGCTTTTCTGGCTCAGTGGTTCTTGAAAAGAAGATTTTTCAAGATTTTTCCTATATATTTCAATGTAAAACTTGTATTCCCTATTGTGGCCTCGCCCTACCCCCGGGGGTCATGATTTTAACAATTTAGAATCTACACTACCCCAGGATGCTTCCACATAAGTTTCAGTTTTTCTGGCTCAGTGGTTCTTGAGAAGAAGATTTTTCAAGATTTCTCCTATATATTTCAATGTAAAACTTGGATTCCCTATTGTGGCCCCGCCCTACCCCCAGGGGTCATGATTTGAACAATTTAGAATCTACATTACCCCAGGATGCTTCCACATAAGTTTCAGTTTTTCTGGCTCAGTGGTTCTTGAGAAGAAGATTTTTCAAGATTTTTTCTAAATATTTCAATGTAAAACTTGGATTCCCTATTGTCGCCCCGCCCTACCCCCCAGGGGTCATGATTTGAACAATTTAGAATCTACACTATCCCAGGATGCTTCCATATAAGTTTCAGCTTTTCTGGCCCAGTGGTTCTTGAGAAGAAGATTTTTTATGACCCCACCCTATTTTTGTCTTTTCTTGATTATCTCCCCTTGTAAGGGGACTTGGCCCTTTATTTTAACAATTTAAACTCCCCTTCCCCCAAGGATACTTTGTACCAAGTTTGGTTAAAATTGGCCCAGTGGTTCTTGAGAAAAAGTTGAAAATGTGAAAAGTTTACAGACGGACGGACGGACAGACGGACGGACGACGGACAACGCGTGATCAGAAAAGCTCACTTGAGCTTTCAGCTCAGGTGAGCTAAAAACTTAAACAAGTTATCACTTTATGGAAACTATTTAGGAAAGATAACTTGTTTGAGTTACTAATGATAGAAAAAATAATTGATGAAGGACAGAAGCAAAGAGAGGTAACTCATTGTGACAAAAAAATAACTTATTTGAGTTATTTTTGAAAATAACTTGTTTGCATTATGCCCCTGACTGTCTATAGGTAGGCAGGTATTCAATTGAAATTTAGCATATAAATAAGCGTATTAATAAAAATAATTGCACCACACAGTTTTGACTACATAGCTCTAGATAACTATGAATATCTAGAACATATGAACTGTTCAATAAGCCTAGATATTTATCATATATAGCCTTAGAGGGGTGGGGCAGACACTTTGTTTCTGTAATCAATTTCTTACTCCATAGTATAATAACAAAAGGTATCTAACTCTGAATTACATGGAGAACCTCCCTTTCCAGAGTTGCAGTAATTTACACTTTCAGAGCAAATGAGTAGCTAAATAAAGCTACATTTCCATACAAAATAACAAGCAGTTGTCATTTGGGTGTTTTAAAGATGTTATATATATATATATATATATATATATATATATATATATATATATATATATATATATATATATATATATATATATATATTCATATGAGAAAAAATCCTAAAAAAAAATTCCTGCTAGAAATTAATTGCCATAAATCAAAAGCACAATCTTGTGATTTTGTCAGACTAAAAAATTAATCTCTTCAGTTATTAAATCACTACTTTCAAATTTTCAAAAAAAAATTCATTATGGAACAAACTTTCTGAACGTTCTTTAGGTAACTCAAGATATGTAGCCAAATCTATTGATTGCACTGGTCCTGATTAAGGGCCCTCAAGGGGCAACAAGAAAGTAAAACATACATACTCATCTAAGTTCATTTACATTTAACCTTACACTGAATGCATGAATGTAGAGAAGCAGAACAATACAGAGTGCAGATATTGGAAGCAGAGTGGAAGTATACAGTGTGAAGCAGGGCTCGAAATAACTGATGGCCAGCTGGTCTGGGGTCAGTAAATTTTGGATTTGGGCTAGTGCTTAGAACATGATTATTTTATGCATATCAAAATCAATTCACAGTCAGGGTAGTTAACCAGACAGTTCGTGAGTTCTGTTTGGATGGAAACAATTCCTTGTTTTGTAAGGTTGCACTATGAAATAATATAATGTAAATTCAATATCATGGATATTTAGAACAAATTTTCTTAATGAGTATATTCTTAAACATTGTAATTTTTTTCTAAATGCTCTTTCACTATGGTGGAACAAGATACAATGTGTTATAAAAACAAAAAATATGTGTAGTTAACAAGAGCTATGAAGAATCTGAAAGTGGCACTACTAGACATGATTAAAAATCAAGATTCGGTGGTGAAGAAATATGATTTTTTTAACTGTTGGTTATTTAAGGAGGGATTCTTGTCTGGTTTCTGACTAAGACAAAATATTCCAAGTATAAACGTATACTAGCTGTAATGTATTTAAAAGATCATATTTTTCTTTACTCATCATAATTGTACAATTTTGAATAGAAATGGTAAACTGAGTTTGAAATCCATAAGGGACTATGTTTTTGTCGCAACTGCAAAGTATGAAAATATCTCCTTTTCTGCCTATCAAAATCACTTACAGAACATTAATACATGTGACATGTGGTTAATTTTTGTAAACAATCAGACTTGAAGAAATTTTGATATGTAACTAAAATTAATAATAATGCCCTAAAGTTTTAAAACATAGCAAATAAAAATGATTTTCTCAACAAACTACAATATTGTAAGCTTTTGAAGGCCTCCAACCTTAAATCAGATTTGAGCAAAAAATCAGTAAAAAGTGTTTTTTTTTTCTCTCTTACTAAACGGTCAAAGCTTTTTGTTTTTGTATCATTTTGTATATTTATATGACTACTTTACCATATGTAAAAATAAGAAATATTTAAATATAAGAAGTATATAAAAATAACTAATATATCCTAAAAAATTAAGAAAAACAGAGGAAATCCGGATTAGCCAATATCTATTTCAGTTAAGTAATGTCAATTAATTTGGTAGAATCATCTGATAGACCCAATATGGTAACATCTTTTTGTGCAAAAAGAAAAACATTTTGTCTTTTAAAATAGAAGTAGGCATCACATGATTAGCAACAGTAATTTTTTACTCTAAATGTCGAGGAAAAAGATAATGACCTTGACCTGACCATGTTTCTAAAATAAAGCAGTCAAATTTAATCTAATTGATACCATCACTTAGTGATATTGTCTTCTTGAATCTATGAAAATTTCATTAATTTTTAAATACAAGAAATATGAGTAGAATAAGAGAAGAATCCCTCCTTAAATTGAAAAATTCATGGTTACATTAAAATGTAGCCTGATTTTTATCCCCTTGCAACAAAATTGGAGTGGATATAGTAACACACTTGTGTGTGTAATGGAAGTTATGCAAGCAATATCTTATATTGGGATCAATGTGCTCTTTTGTGAGGGGATGCTCCGACTTGGTATCGGGTACGTTCGCCCTATCTACCTGTTCGCATGAGTCCGATTGGGTCTGATTGCCATAATTCTTGTTTGCCCTATATCTTGTTCGCCCTAATATATATATACAGTATATAGCAAATATTAACATTTATTATTAATTTAATTCAATATTTTATGACTTGTTTTTTTTTTCAAATGTTGCTACAGTAATTTTTTTTAAATTTAATCTTAATTAAATAATTCAATTTTGATATTAATGCTTTTTACATGCTAAATTGGTTTAATTAAAATTAATAATGTCACAATAATTTGGAGGTTCATAATATCCGTGTTTTTTTTTTACAATCTGCGATATGTTTTGAAAAGAATTAAAGGACTGAGACGTTAATAGGCCCATTATGGAGCTGAGCAGCGGATGAGCAAGGTTTTACCTTTGAAGATTGATAATTTCACACGTCAAATCCAAACCTTTGAACCAAAAATTGATATATAAGAAGAAGGAAAATGAACTGAAATTCATCAAACTACTATGCATACGTCTGTTGTCTCCCATGTGCAATTTATGTACCTATGTACATATAATTTATTGAAAAAAAATCCATTGGTTCATTATTCAACTTTCTGCAATATAAAGAGGGCGAACGAACCCTGTGCGAACAAGTTTTAGGGCGATCGGACTCTGGGCGAACGAGAAATAGGGCGAACGGCGTCAAGGGCGAACTAGGGCGAATGAACATACAACCCTCCGACTTGTGGTGTCCTTCTTAAGCACTGGTTTTGGGCCAGTCTTTTTCATACCTACTAGCCCAGTGGGGCAAAGAAAGTTATCAACTGACCAGTAAAATTTTAAGTTAATAGCTGAGTGACCAGTGAAAAAAAATTATTTCGAGCCCTGGTGAAGAAGATTTATTAGTTAGAACAAGGTAAGATTAACAGGTTGGGCCCACCTCATCAAATGGTCATTTATTCCCCGTTTGGTGGACAATCTCCCATATCGGAGATGAATTTTACTGACCAAATTGTGGACTTTTTTATTCTATTCCAAATTTTATTTAAATAAAGCAAAAGCGCATTTACCTAGGCATTGGGGAATTTTAGTGAACATATTCCTCGCACAATTAACATAGTTCGGTCGATTTTCCTTGTGCAATTTCTCCATGTCTTCCTAAAAACAATACCCATAGTTGTCCGTAACAGCCGAACTTCTTGATCAATCGATCAAACAAATTTTGATTGTGTCTAGTAGGATAAAAATTCTATTTTTGGATCTTCGTCAATATTTATTTCCATAAAATCCCGTTAAACATGAGATCCTCATTACTTTACTGGTATGGTGGGCACTTATTGCTATAAAGTTAAATTTTTCTAGACTTGAACGTAATATCTGTTGTTCTTTTTCTTTTAGGATGAAGTTGCATATTCCATGCGACCTTTTGTGGTTTAATATGTATATTACTGATGAATTTAATATATTTGATAAATAATTTTCAATGAAAGATTTACAAAGTGACTTTTGCAATTATTCTTGTTTTCGTTCGAAGTTTTGAAACAACAATTATATCATAATCTAACTTCATTTACTATTTTTATAGAGAACAAAGCTATTGCATACAAAATAAAACGAAATAAAGGCGAAAACTTATTTTTCTTTTGATTTCCTAATTGAAAATTGACAGAAATGTGCCTCTGTAGTAAAATCCGACTTTTGACCAGGTTAAATAAAGATCATCGTATTTATTGGTTTGCATTATTTGATTGGTTGCCCGGATAATCGTAATAGAAAGTAAAGAACATGATTGACAGGTGCTGCATCCTTGGAGAAGGAGGGAATTTTCTTTTTAAGTAAAATCGGAGAAACGTGGCAAATGTTTACGTACGTGACGTTTTTTGTCAAATTTTTGAACGACTTTGCGCAAAAAATTACATGTTGAATTTCCGATTTTTTTTCACACAGAACACCGATAAATATCAATATTTTATTCCACGTGGTTTAAAATTATGCACAATTCCATGCCATTCTATGGAATTGAACACAACCATTTTTCTCTCCCAAATGGTCAGTAAAATTCGTCTCCGATATGGGAGATTGTCCACCAAATGGGGGATGAATGACCATTTGATGGGGTGTGCCCAACCTGATTAAAGGTCATATGAAACAATGTCCAGAGCATTTTGGGTTGTATACGGAAATGAGTTCATCTGAGCTACTTTAATAAGCCTGAAATTATATTTTGAATTTTTTATGCAAGTTAGCGGCAGCAGAGTCGATCAAAATTACTCGACTGCAAAAATGAACTTCAACTAGCGCGGCTTATCTCCCTTTGCTTATGACGTCAGTAAGACCCAGTCGTACATTCAGTACTAACATTTATACAACCGATCATGTCTTTTGCAGCGTAAATTTTAAGAAATATCATTATTTAGGCTAAAACGTCGCATAAATATACGATATTCAAACAAGATAGTATTTGTCTTTTAACATCCTACTGCATATTTGCAAGATATTAGTATGTTTTATCTGTGTAATTTATTGTCGTCCTTCGAGACTTAAATCGACAGAGAGAGATGATACTACAAAGAGAGGGGGTCTGTACTCGAGTAAGTTAATATAGACGCTGTCAAATAATTTACAATTGAATAAATTTCTTACATAAGAATACTGATGATTTGTTTTCTGATTAAATTTTTAAGCCATGATTAGATGATGCTACCTAGGTACTCGGTAGCACGCAAATTTATAAAGCTGAATTCGATTGACCGCGCTGTGTGTGAAAGTGAAACTAAACCTGCATATAAATGATTTCATTTATTTATGGGAAATGAAATGATTCTAGTGCTTTCTCCCGTTCTCAATCACTTTTCCCTGTCTCGATGACCCCCCCTCACTCTCCGTATTTTTTTCTTACAAAAAGTCGGTATATATACGCATAACACTGTGATTATATTATCGTAATAATTTTAAAAAGTCAGACATTAAACGTAATTCTATCTACGTAATCCTACTTTTCTGTATGTATATATTTACAGACAGTTTATTTTAACATAGATTATTATATAGTCTGGTTTTAAAAAAAAGTTGAACTGTAAAAGTATTAATTTTGAGAATTAATTGTTCAGGTTCAGTCTCGCAAATAATGGGGGCATGGATTTTTTTTAACTGATCAATTTATGCACGAAATGCATGAGTATTTTTTTTAAACTGCAATTGCTCAGCCAAACTGTAAGAAGTATCAGCACCGTAACATTACAGTGTATGTATATACATGTACATTCTCGTAATGCAGGTAAGTTTTGAGTCATTTTTTTTTTAAAATCATACTTCTTGTGACAGCAAAATTACGGTGATGTCGTCATAAACCCCTATTTCTATATCGTTTTTACATTAGTCCTCGTGTTTCAGATTGCAGAAAGCGTGCATTCAAATACGCCGACTTTTCATTGATCCATGTTTATCATGAACTTCAATATCCCCGTGTTAATTTGGGAAAAAAAGGGGGGGTTACTCTTGAGCTACATATTTTCCCCTCTCAATATATGACACAACTTTACAGATTTTGCATGCCCATTAAATTTTTTATTGTAAGAAGCTTCAGGTCAATGTTAATTAATTACGCTGTTTTTGTTGTTAATTATACAATTTTACTTGGAATAGAAAAAATATATCATATACGTATCAAACAAAAATAAGAAGATTTAAATTGTTTCTAAAGTATTAATTTAAAATAAGTAATCATAGTTGGAGGAGAAAAATCTTGATTTCTACGGGGTATTCATCAGGATCATCCTACGATTAAAAGCTCTCGTTTTCAGTTGCTGTGTCTAATTAACGATTAGTTCAAATAGAGTAAACTGTATTTTAGAATCAGATAGCTCATCTGAATACATAATCAGATTTATACCCACAAAAATGACTAAAATTAACTCAATAAAATACGGTAAAATTACACTAGATCTAATGCGTTATTTACATCAGTGGGTCTTTGTGACGTCATAAAAACACAAAATCAAGAACGATAAGCGGGTAACAAATTTATCAAGTGGACAAGTTCAGGCCTTCATTTTTCAGTTAAGCAAAGGCAAATTTTTTTTTACTAAACGTGATTTGACATTCTTTCATACCAGTCTTTATGTTTAAAAAGTAAAATCCTAGTGTTAAGAATCGTTTCATATGACCTTTAAGAGGATTGACCCCCTAATGATTTTCAAGAAAATTGAATAACTGATTGGTAGTTGTTGGTTTTACCTGGTTTAAGAAGTGTAGGTAAAATTTTGCCAATAGTTGACGTGTTCGTAGTCATAATTTTCCACATGTTTCCAATGACATTTATGTACACAAACCCCCCAAAGATATTGTACCAAAGGATTTGCATATCTGTGGTGCCATAATGCTCTTTCATCCATGGCGCGACAATAAAATCGCCCAGAATTATTACACTGTGTATCAGAATTAAAGCATAGCACAGGGAGGCAGCGTCTACGGCGTTCTTTGGAAGTATATGCCGGAGGCCAGTCATCTTCAGAATAGTTGCTTCCCTCTTGAAAACATTACTCTAAGTTATAAATGGTTCTATAAACAAAAGATAAAAATATATTGCTGACAAACGCAAATACGACGCTGCTATTCACCTCATTTGTTATTGTGTACGTATGAATATTCTTAGCATACAGCGATATTAATTATCGTTGCAAAGTCTTAGTTTAAGTAATTTATTTTTTCTTTTGGAAATGTACACTAAATATATGAAATGAGCATATCCAATGATCAAAATTCATAAGTTCAATATATTAACAACTTTGATTTATCAACCTAGCATTGGAACGAATTGTTTATGTTATATAAAATAAATATGACTGCGCTCAGGAGTTTGTCTCAAGGAGTTCTACGGAATCGAGTGTCATTTAATAATGCATTTAAACAGTGCGATAATTTTAATGGGAAACCATTAAGAAATAAACACTCTTTATTTGATAAGTATTTTTCCACGAATACAGGTTCAAGTTACAGAAGTAAATGGAAATTATGGTCTTGCGTAATCGGAACAGGGGTATTGGGTTCGATCTTTCTGTTTAATAAACAGAAGTATGTTTTGAATGCAGATTTTCCAGGACAGTCTATACCTCCAACAAAACAGGTATGGAAATGATCAAGTGTTGGTTTTACTTGAAGTTGAATGTTAAATCCTCCATGAGAATTACTTGAATTAGGAAATTCGGGCTAGAATAGAAAATTAAAATATTTATATGAATTAATATTTAAAGATGACTAATACTGCGTAATGTTTTAAACAGTCCATTTAAGACTTTAATATCAATTCATTATTATTATACAAGTTTGACTTCAATAGTTTTCAGAGATTTCAAAGCATCTTCCATTGTAGATCCGTTTTGATGAAGACAAAACAAACCTGAAGTTGACCTTGTTCCAGTTTGTTACATGTCCTTTTTGCTGTAAGGTTCGAGCTATGTTGAACTACAATGGAATCTCTCATGACGTTGTTGAGGTTAACTCTATAACAAGAAAAGAGATCAAATGGTCCAAGTACAAGAAAGTCCCGATCATCATCATAGAAGGAGTGGGAGAGGATGGATACCTGGTCAGTCTTTATAAGTTTTCAGAGTTCAATTTAGAAGGATGGAATTCAAATAAAGCCATTTTTAGTTTATTTTAAATCCCCTCTGGTCCATTTTGTACTGTAATTTGCTTTGAAGACCCATGGACAGTCTGCAGCCTTCTAACTTTAAGGACTTGTACAGGGTGAGGTGCTGCTATTTATAGAAACTTTTAATAAATATGATGAATTATTATGTTGAATCAGGTTGTAGTAAAAAATTAAAGTGCATCAGAATGGTTGTCTTGGTTAATCAAATTTTCATCGATATGAATATCTGTATCTGAAACCCCCTACCCCCAAACGACCCCAATACTACTAAGTGAGGCTCATTCAATTTAAACTCAAATATGCATGGCCCTTTATTGAAAGATTTCTTTTTATTAATAGAATTCCCATTTATCAAAAGAATATGTACATATGTATTTCCTCATACTCCATTGAAGAGTGACAAAATAAAATAAAATTTTGATTTTCATTTTGACTACTACAGTGTATGTACGTAATATTGCAGATTGTGAAATTATTTGAGTGAGTGCAACCTAGTCACTTACTTTGTGAAGTTAATTATTAGCTAATAAAACAGCTGCTTCCTTTTGCTCATAACTATGAAGTGATGTAAACTTATAAGTGGTTTGCATTTCTTCCTGACCTCCAATGTTCTAATGTTTTTCCCCACATATTTTTTACCCCCCAAATATTAAATTAAATAGATATGTTGAATCGACAACTCCAATGTTTTGCCTACTAAAAGTTGAAGCTATGCACAAGCACACTTTTTCTTGGGAGTGCAGATTGACTATAATTGGGGCTGTCAAAGGCCCCATTCCCAATTCAAAAAAGGTACCCTTTTTCCCAATTGAGTGTGTTAATTTTCCCAAAAGTCATTTCTCCAAAAATCAAAGAAAATATAGTTGGATATATATTATAAGTAAACTTGCTATTCATATTCCTCTGTATTGCAAAACAAAAAATTAGTTCAATATCAATAAAGACCAGAAAACCAATACATCATGATTTTTTGTATAATGGTTATCCCAAAATTCCCCTAAAGGTTGCTATTTTCCCAATCTTTACGAACCTGGCCCCATTCCCAAAAATTGGTTTGAGAACCCTGGATTGTTACATTTGACAGATTTTTAGCAGAAACATAGGATTTATTTGTAAAATTTTCTAAAGAAATTATATTGCATAGCTCTGGCCACCTTGTTGTTATGTGCACAAAGAGGGGATTTTTTTTTAAAAATGTTTAGATTAAGATTGAATTTTCATCAATTCAAAAAAATAATCAAAAAAGCACACTCTTTTGCTATTGCTCTGATATATCAGACTTTCAGCAAGTGAACAATTTCTCTGTCTGACATAAGTTCTCTTTTTATAAACTACCTGATATATTGGACTTTCAGCAAGTGAACGACTCCTGTGTCTGACATACTTTGTAAGTTATTTATTTATAAACCACCTTATATATATATTGGACTTTCAGCAAGTGAACGACTCATCTGTGATAATGAGTTTGCTAGAAAGCCACCTTTTTGACAAATCCGTTCCCCTGGAGAAACTTTCTACATACTTCCCAGTCATAGAGAAAAAAACAGGAGGTCGATTCTTCAGTCGTACAGTCCAGGAATGCCCAAACAAGAACTTTGTGATGTACCAAGAGCATCTATCAGACAAGAGAACTCCCGAGGAGAGAGCGTGAGTATGGTTTATATTGTACAATAACAGAGCTTGCAGTTTTTGACTCTGTTTTATATTGTACAATAGCAGAGCTTGCAGTCTTTGACTCTGTTTTATGTTGTACAATAGCAGAGCTTGCAGTCTTTGACTCTGTTTTATGTTGTACAATAGCAGAGCTTGCAGTCTTTGACTCTGTTTTATGTTGTACAATAGCAGAGCTTGCAGTCTTTGACTCTGTTTTATATTGTACAATAGCAGAGCTTGCAGTCTTTGACTCTGTTTTATATTGTACAATAGCAGAGCTTGCAGTCTTTGACTCTGTTTTATGTTGTACAATAGCAGAGCTTGCAGTCTTTGACTCTGTTTTATGTTGTACAATAGCAGAGCTTGCAGTCTTTGACTCTGTTTTATGTTGTACAATAGCAGAGCTTGCAGTCTTTGACTCTGTTTTATGTTGTACAATAGCAGAGCTTGCAGTCTTTGACTCTGTTTTATGTTGTACAATAGCAGAGCTTGCAGTCTTTGACTCTGTTTTATATTGTACAATAGCAGAGCTTGCAGTCTTTGACTCTGTTTTATATTGTACAATAGCAGAGCTTGCAGTCTTTGACTCTTTGTTTTATAAAATCCAAGTGATGATTGATTGATTGGAGCTTTTTTTATTATTTCAAACTGAATGTTTTTTTAATTTTCAGAGCCCAGGAGTAAGTTTTTTTAATTTGATAAAATATTTTACCAGTCAGGGGAATACTGATTGTAGTTATTTTCTGACATTAATCTCAGTTTCCTTGGTTTTACCTCTTTCAAGTTAGATGAAAAGTAACGTATTCAGTTAGTTCTTGTTATACTCAAAACTCCCATTGAGAATTGGCTGATGTGAAAAACAAGCATTCTGAGAGAAATGTCTCATCTGAGTGATGTTTAAGCAATACTAGTTCCCTACCAATGCTAGTTTCCTATCTGCATGTGTAATGAAGGCTTTAAGTCCAAAGGATGAAATTCTGTCAAAAATATTGAAGCAGAAAGAAAGGCAAACTTGAACTGTAACTCATCAAGATTTGCAGCATACGAAAATAAATGCAACTGTGCAGAAAAAAGTCTGGAAAACCAAGTGGAAAGAAAGACTTTAAACAGTTACTAAAAAAAAACTGAATTTAGTTATGCCCCTTGACTGTTTATAGTTGTTATTATTTTTTTTTAAATTCTTGTTTTTCTGCATTTGAGCATTGCAAGCATCAAGTACCAATGCCTATTAGCTTTGATTACACTTGCTGACTGTTTACAGTGGATTTAATTTTGCATCTGAATGTTGAGAGCATGTATTATCAATTTGAAAGCTTAGCTTTTACTGACAGTGGCCTCAAAACAAACCAAATCACTTTAAAGACAACATACTCTATTTCACTGAGCCCCCCACAAAACAAGGGAGATCCTATTTATTTTGAGAATTTTATTATGGGAGATCCTTTTTATTTTGAGAATGTAGTTGAAGAGACTTCAACACAGCCTTAATGAAAAGTTTGTTAATTGAAAAGTTTTTAAAATATGTATTTATCATAAAGTTGTCAGTTATATTTGGATTAAATGAATGTTTTTATTAAATGTTTAAACAATTATCAAAGAGATAAAGTTCAGCTTTGTCTTACAGATGTTATTCTAGCAGTTATTGTTCCAGCTTATGATTTTAAATTATCTTTCCTTGTCTTTTTGCCATTAAGACATTGCTTAGTATTCAATTTTTGCTTCAAATGCAGAACTCAAATTGTTTAGCAGTAATTTTTTTCTGATATAAGACACAAATAAACTGAAGAAGACAATTTGAATTTTTTGCAATTATGTTTATATATGTAAATTAAAATGGCTGCAAAATATTGCAGTAATTGACAACCATATAATTACTGTACACTATTTATTATTGGCAACAACTTTTATCCATGATTCATCAGTTTGAATTCCATCAGCAACTGTTACCTTTCACAACTGAGGAAACATTGTACATAAATATTCAAATGAATAGATGGTTCAAAGGTAAAAAATATTCTTAGAGTAAAAGGTCACAAAACTTGTGGATATATCTAATCAGGCAATTTCAAGTTGGTTTATAGTCTCCTTCACAGTTCTATTGTGTTAAATATTTAATTGAGGTTAAAAAAAAACAATATATAATGCCACAGTAATAATTATTAAGTCTGAAAAGTCTTCAACACTTCACGGTAATAACTTGTCAGATATTCCAATTTTTTTTTTTTGACAGTGATGAGAGAAAGATGAGGATTTGGGTGGACACAGTGTTTGTACATTTGATCTCCCCCAATGTTTACCGTACCCCTAGGGAGGCCCTAGACACATTTAACTGGTTCTCCACAGCCGGAGATTGGGAAACCAATTTTTCTAACTTCCAGAAAAATACCATTATCTACATAGGAGCCTTTGTAATGTACCTTGTTGGAAAAAAGCTTAAAAGGAAGTGAGTTAAAAATTTATATAGTTACCAGCAGGTACATATCTACGTCTTTTTCTTAATTGTAAAAAGCATTTTGAATAATTAAAGAGAGACACATCTCAAGCTTATCTGAGCCACAGGTTCAAGTGAACTTTCCTGTCATAATTCCCAGCATATGCATGCCTTTGTGTGCACATTTGTACATGACTATATGTTAACTTTTTAATTTTCATTATTTCATTTCTTTCTCCAAAACTACTTCTCCAGTATCAGCCAAACTGCTGCAAGGAGAATTCAAGTTTGCTCAAATTTCAAGGAAAGATTTTAATTGAGATAATTGAAAGACAAAGTATTGACTTAAGAAAAGATTTTTGTTTGTGAATAATTCAGTTCTTTGAATAAGAAGTTTTCAAATTTTGTAACTATGGTGATAATTGTTATGATCTACAGACACAATCTCCAGGATGATGTCCGTACGTCACTTTATGAAGGCGGCGACACATGGGTCAGGAATCTGAAGGGGAGAAAATTCATGGGAGGGGATCATCCCGACTTAGCAGACTTGGTACTCAAGTTCATTTTATTGATGGCATTCAGATATATTTTCTTTGTTATTGCCAGAAAACGTGGTGATATAAAGTCTATGTTACATTGTATTCTTTCATTTAAAATGTAAACATATTAAAAGGCGGAAAAAAATTCGAAAGTACTTAGAACAAAACTTTATGTCAGTGTAGAATATACATAGATTTTCTTACAGGATTAATCTCTTTATTTTTTTTTTTTTTTCAGTCCATGTATGGAATGTTAACAGCTATGGAAGGAACGGAAGCAATGAAGGACATGTTGTCTCACACTAAAATCAGGCCATGGTTTGAGAGAACTAAGAAAGCTGTGAATGATCATGAAGGAGCCCACCGCACCCGAGATTTAAGTGTTCCATAGGGACCTGGCAGGCAATCAGAAATGCCATTGTTTTGTCAGCCAATCAGAAATATCGTACCTTCCATTAACAAGATATATTTGACTTCTGAACTCCACTGTCTACTTATTTATAACATTATATGTTATTTATGGATTAAAATGGACTCAAAGTGGTAAACATATTATTTGAAGTGTTTTTAAACAGAAAAACAATATCCTGTGATAACTGAGAAAATTACCTTAATAAAGGATAAAATTTTATATTTCTTGATATCACCAAGTGCATAGGGACAAAAAGTTTTTTGAAGGTCTTTGACGGAATCACTTGCATCACCTTAAATTTTGTGGACAGTTTGTGAATTCCAATATAGAAAATTAAGAATTTTTTTTAAAGATTTTCTTGTCTCCTTTGTTGATTATTAGATGCTTTCTATTGCTGAACTAATAAAATTTACGGAATACCCAGGATCTAAACATGACTAAAAGTTGCTCCATTAATTTACACAATATGAATTGCCAATATTGCTTATAAATCACATTTTCATATTTTGAAATTTATTAATTTTCTGGTTGCCAAATGGGAAAAATGGAATCTCACAAAAATTATATATTTTTTTAAAATTATTTTTAGTATGATTCTGTTGTATAAATATACTTACCTCCCTTTACTTAGTTTACACATACTGGCGTTAATTAAGTACAATAAAGCGGTGAATATATGTATATTTAGCCATTAAAGTCTTTGTTAGATATACTCTTCGTGTACTAGTGCAAGTTCTTGCTTGCATTGCAAAAATGGTCCCAATGTAGTTAGTCTGACATGTGGCGAATGCCTCCCTGTCAAAAAAGAAATTGACTTGAAATGTATGATAGATATTATTGAGAAAGGATGGATTTCACAGAAGAAATTGTCAAATGTATATATATATATATATATATATATATATATAAAGTCCATAGATCCACAGTGGTCGGTATTGCAGTGTAATTAAAATAATTAAAAAAGTTTACTAACTATCACATAGTAACATTACTATGAGACAGTTAGTAAACTTGTTTGTAAAGCATCTGGAGATTGTAAACAAAAGAACAAATGCTTTACTGTGTTAATTTCTTCCTGTTTTCATTTGAATTATTTTGATTATATATATATATATATATATATATATATATATATATATATATATATATATATACTTTAAGAAAAATCCAATTTTTGGTACAGTAAAATATTGATATATCCAATGTAAAAATCAAGAATCACAAGACTCGAATAATCATTTTAACTGTAAGCACTTTCTGCCTTTTAATGGCTGTTCAGACAGTTACAAAATGAATATGAACTTGCTTAGTAATGTTCATATATATAATGTATTGAATGAAAGGGGGGGGTGTAATATTTGTAACTCCAAGGGTGGACCCAGGTCCAGGAATTTTTCCAAAGGGATGGGGATTTCAAGTCAGATAAATTTCTAACTTATTATCCAGAAAGAAGGAAAATGCTAAAATTAAATTGAAAAAAGGAAAGTCTGTTTTTATTTGTGGTTGAGTATGTGAAAAGGGGGAAGGGGGGGGGGGGGGGCAAATCCATAGAGGGCTATTATAGAGAGAAATCCATATTTACCATGAACATATCTTTTGAAGATCTTTGGAGATGCCTACTAGGGAGCGTACTTGTCAACCTCTGTATTAGGCATATGTAAATTATTAAGAATGAAAATCCTGGGAGGAGGCAGTTGAACACCCTGCTGGATCCATCATTGTGTATAGACTATCAAAAATAATCAAAGGTCTTAATCTGATTAAGGGGACATGAAGAAGTCTTTAATGAGACAAGATATCAGTAAAATATGTTAATGTAAAAATGTACATGACAAGCTGTTGCACGCTATCGGTTACCAAGATTGTAAGACAAGATACCGCATTAAAATATATTTACATGTTTAGACAGCCTGTTTACAAGGAGTCGATTTGTACATATCTGTCAATAGAAAGTTTACTTTCAGTTCAGGGTAGTTTTATACTTTGCATGATATTTTGATTTATTTGGAAAAATGCTCCAGTGGGAGGAGTTAATTATTTTGTAGTTATATTTAAATAGAGTTATCCCTCTTTTACAAATAGAATGTACCGTTTGTGGTCTTGTTTATCAGTGAAACCAGGGGTTCACTAAAAACAAAAGAATATCTGGACATAGATTTCAAAATAAAACCAGAGGTCAGCAGCTTCTTTACAAGCATTTTAATTCTCCTGACCATTCCATTTTTTCAATGAAAGTCAGAATTCTCGAAAAAATAAACCATCATATTAATTAATAGTCCATTCTTAAAGCCCAGCTTTCCGTAGACGAGAAGAATATTGAATTGGGAAAGTAGGTACTGCTTTTCCATAAGGTTGTAATGACAATATCGACAGTGTGGGGGAGCTTTCAAGTCCACGGTGTAGCAACGTGAATGTGATGGGACCTTTTTAACAAACCACAAAGACTAAAGTTTAGTCATCGAACTTACAATAACCTAATATACATGCTGTCTCTTTTAAATCAATTCTTCCTTATGTCAATAAATAGTTGGATCTGCATGCATCAAATCCGCACCAAACTTTAATCTGTTCCCTTGAAAGCTTTATATGATCTATATGAAAAGACTTAAGAAAGTCAATACTTGGATTCTTCAACACCTGAACACAGGCTGGATTCTTTGATAATGGATTATGTCAATCATAGGCTTTTTAAGCTGCAGTTTACAGAAGACAAAAAATCTGAAGAAATCCGTCTATTTTTATGACGTCGAGCTCTTGGAGCTCGAACGTCATCTAGCAAGCGCCCAGTTGACATCGCGACCGGATATGTACGCGACCGAATGTGTCAGTCAATGCATCCGCAATAGCAAATAGCAATAGCTCTAAACCAATTTCTTTGAAAACGCTCAAAATGAATAATAGTTTGAAAATAAAATTGCATCAACTATATCTGCAATTAATTCTATTGCAAAACAACAATATTATGTTTTATTCTCACACAAGAAAAATGTGATGGTTGTCGCGGATGAATTTCTACAGAAAGGGTGCGTTGAATGACATGAATAACATTTCGGAACGATAACCGTGTAACATAACACAACAGGAGGTAAAATAATTACAAAATTACATAAACACGAATACTACAAGACTAAAAAGATTGAATTTCTAAATCTTAGCTTTACTTATAAAATCTTCTAACCAACTCTATCCTAAAAGCCGATGATATTGACCAGTATTACTGTATTTCTCCATTTCCTCCATTTCCCAGTATACCGTATACCACGCCCGATCGTAACTCGATCGTAATTGTAACAGAACAGAGTCTTGGTTGTAGTTTAGATGCAATCACTAATACAACGCTTTGACATTGGCAATTAGAAAAAATATTATATAAATTCATGAAATCCTTCATAGTTCTTCAACTGACTGAAAAGAATTTAGCATGAACATGTTCAACGGTGTCTGGTCAATTCGAACCCTGCTTCATTCGGACCATGACATAAGGCCCCAGACTGTAATTGTGATATTTTGTTTAAAACTATTTTTTTTATTATGTCTCCTGAGTCACTCACTTGACTTATTGCTATCTTCAAATTCAAAATGATCTTTTGAAATTGTTTTTCTTCTTCGACGTCATTGAAGCCTTTCAGGCTTTTGATTTAAACTTAAATTCGCCAACAAAGGACTTGACGCCGTAAACATTATTAAAATTTTTAATCACAAAAGGGTCCTGATTTGTATTCCACCATATTTCAAGTTGAAGTCCGCACATTGTATTCTTACAAATATTCATCAATTACTGCTTCGCTTCCAAACTGTTTAATTACAAAAAAAACTCTACAGTGCCTAAATATCGAAAATCTGAAACAAAATTCTACAGGGTATGTTCATGAACTATAGCCCTGCTGGACACGTCATTGCTGTTGACGTGGATATAGTTAACAATGTAGACCTTAAATCACTTGCTATTTTAAAAGGGTCAAAATTTAGGGAACCCTGATCCTTCAACTGGCGACAAAATTTCATAAATATTCTGAATTCTATCGAAGCTTATCCAAACAATAGGTCAAATACGAAAGAAAAGACCTTGACACTTTGTCAGAATGGATTAAAAGTATAAGATGGATGTTGAATTCTCGTGTTTAACGGTTGAGGAGCAATATGAAAACATCTATCTGTCTGTCTTTAATAATTCAGAAGTGAAAAAAGAATTAGATAGATTACACGATCAATATGTGCTAGTCTCAGCTGACAAATCAGGTAACAATATTGTCTTTGTTTGTAAGGCTCATTATTACAGTCGCATTTAAGAGGAACATGGGTTTAATTTTACAAGTGGTAACGAAGAAATTCTTCAAATGACAGATGGAGATAATGACCAGTATTCAAGCTCAAAGTCCATTTAAACAATACAGTGCGGGAGAAGAGCAAACACGGACCTCTAAAAACATCAGAGGTGGGATCAGGTGACATGGAGGAGTGAGCATTCCCTGCCGACCGGTCACACACACCGTGTGCTCCTTGTTATGATCGGGGAAAACTGAAAAATCCGTAGACAATTCAGTGTGTAAATAATGGCCTAACAATTGAAAAACGTCAGTCAGCATTTTACTTAATGATAGGTTGTATTTGCTGACAAGGTCATCGTATCGACCCAATCATAATCATAAATTATACTCCAACTTATACTCATAGTTCCCTTTGTAATGAGGAAGTTCTTCAAAATCATGTCAGTTTTGAATATTTTCAATGTACCCAATAACTAAATTGAATTTGAATTACCATACTTATACTGAATTCCTCAACTTCATAACAATCCTTTAAAGGATACATAACGGGTTTTAGTAATTGTTCTAAAAAGCCTCTTTCTTTACTACTCACGAAAATATTAACTAAATAAAAACTTCAGGAGATGTGGATACTTAAGAACTCCAAGGAACTTATCTAAAAAAAAATATCGAAATAAATTTTTTACCAAAATCAATAACATCAAAACGTATGACTTTTCAAAACTTTATGCAACCATTCCAAACGATAAATTAAAGACCAGACTTCTTGACGTCATTGACAACTGCTTCTTCAATAAAAATGGTCCCCGGAAATTTGCATACCTTGTCACTGGTCATCTGCAAACATCTTGTTAAAAAAAATTCTGATTCTATACAAAAGTATCCCGATATTGATATTAAAAAGATATTTGGGTTTCTCATTGACAATATC